TTTTTTTTTTTTTTTTTTTTTTTTTTGGTACCCGGCATTGAACTCAGACTCAGGTCCTTGCGCTTGCAAGGCAGGCACCGAACCGCTGAGCTAAATCCCCGGCCCCTGACACAGTCTTAATAGCAATATTCCACATTTATAATAACATTAAGGATGCATTTGTTTTCTTGTATGATTTTTAACTTCCATTCTATTGTCAGAGTCTATCCCTCTATATCCTCTAACAGACAATTTTACACAGTCAGAAACATCATCTGTTTTTCATCATGGCTTTGTAATCCAAAGTATCTTGCTTCTACCACCTTTCTTATTTCTTTTAACATTTTCTCGAGGCTTGAAAATTTTGTTTAGTTTTGCCAAATGTTACACTAACTGCTGTCTGTAAATAGCTGTTGATTCATTCTTATACCAAAGGAACTGCAGATTTTCCTGGCTGCTCACATAACACTGTCATTGTGCAGGTCACAGCTGTTCACCTAAAAGTGACTGCATGGCCAGCTTTGCCACACGGTGGCTTATGAGGCTGAAACATTGGCATGGTGTTCTTAATATGATGGTTACTTTTGCACATATGGACACAATTAGCTTAATTAGAATGCTTTTAGAGAGAAATTTTTAGGAAGATAACGAGAAAAGCATTTGAAAAAACTGGTTAAAAGGCATCTTGGAAGTCCTTTCTGAAGTCTACTCAAACGTGACTTTAAACATAAATTAATTTTCACAAACTAAAACAGCATTATGGTTATCTGGGACAAAATTTTAAATTTTACAAAGAGAAAACAATGTCACTGAGGCTACTTCCAGAGGTTTGCTAACCCATTGTTAATTCTCTTCTCTCCCTCACATTATCAATTTGGTGGTTTGTGTTCAAGTTATCACAAGATCACTAAGTTCTCCTCCTATCCTGTATGCTTGTGTGATTTTGATGCAGTCTTAGCTGTTAGCTTGTCAAAGAAGGGTCCTAATTGGATCAAGGCCCTTGTATGATCTGAGAAAAGAATTTTGTTTTTTCACATTTGACAAAAGCTTCCTATTCATTTTAATATTTCACTTTATTTAGGGATTAAATGATATAATAAAATTTATAATTACAGTGGTTATTATGGCATGCCCGATAATTTTAGCAAGAGTTATTTTGTGTAGTATATACACGGACCATCAGGATCCAGTGGATTTTCCAAATGTGTATGCACAGAAAATAAAACATTAAGGGACCTTCCAGGTTAACAGTAAGGAGTTGGTCAGGGGAGGACTAAACTCTAGAGCTGCATTGTTCTTACTAAGCATACTACATGAACTCAATAAAATACATGTGTTAGCAAACTACTTCCTAAATAACCTGTGGCACATGAATTGGTTTGTCAAGGTTAAATAATACAGAAGAGAGGAGAAAAATAGTATAATGTCTAGAGGAAAAAAGTAGTACTGAGTGAAAAAATATTTTTATAAAAATAGAAAATCATTTTGAGTGTCAGTTTAAAATATGGTGTTATAATTTTGAGGACAGAGAAACAATGTCTAAGATAGTGTTAGTTAATAATCACATGTATTTCCCTATGTAGTTCTTAAACCCCTAGGAAATTATTAATTTTCCACTTCATATTAGGAAATTATGAAAATTTTCAGTGACTCAGTATTTTACCTGGTAGGGCATTTAACATACTAATTATGTCTAAAAAGTTACAAAATATATAAAGTATCATAATTTTAAATTATTTTCATTTCCAAAAATTACCCTATGTCATTGACATTATAATAGCATGGGGAAAAAGTGTGTGTGTGTGTGTG